GAAGGGTGGCAAGGGTCCGAATCTCCACGGGGAGATCGTTCCAGAGGGCCGGAGCAGCCACAGAGAAGGCCCTCCCCTGGGGGGTCGAAGTCGACACTGGCTAGTTGATGGAATCCGGAGGAGGCCTAATCTGTGGGATCTAATTGGTTGTAGGGAGGTAATTGGCAGAAGGCGGTCTCTCAAGTACCCAGGTTTTTATGTTTTCTTTTATGTTCTCTAGAGGCTCTAATTTCAAATAATCATCTTTTGTGATTCCAGAAGTTCCCAATTGTGGTGGTGTAATCTGTAAAGCCAACTCCCTTTGTGTGGTAAAGAATGGGAAGGCTGAGTGTGAATGTATTCCAGGCTACAAGAAAATTGGGATTAATTGTCTAGGTGAGAGGAAACCTTGAATTTTTATGTAGCGTGTTAGAGCATTTCAAAGTACTCCGCACGTGTTTTCTTTATAATTTTTGTAAACAGAATTCATACAATGAGATCTACAAGAGGTAATAGAAAACATTCTTCAATGCAGGGGTGAAATTCAGCAGGTTCTGACAGGTCCTGGAGAACTGGTAGCAGAAATTTTGAGTAGTTCGGAGAACTGGCAAATATCACATCTAGCTGGCCCCAGAGTGGGATGGAAATAGAGATTTTGCAATATCGTTCTCCCAGGAGTGGGGAGGGAATAGAGATTTTGCAGTATCCTTCCCTGCCACGCCCACCAAGCCGGTAGTAAAAAAAAATGAATTTCACCACTGCTTCAATGATTCCAGCCATCAACCATGTTTCCTTCCAGAGCAGGGATCTCCAAATTTGGCAACTTTAAGACTTGTGCACTTCAACTCCTAGAATTCTCCACCCAGCATATTCTCAATTCTGGGAGTTGAAGTCCACAAGTCTTAAAGTTGCCAAGTTTGAAGACCTCTGTTCCAGAGCATTCTATTCCAGTCTTTCCTAACACTGTTGAGCTAAATTTCACTCATTGTCAATCAACATGCTAAGACATGATGGAGCTGTAGTTCAAGATACCTGGAAGAAACCAAGCTGGATAAATTGTTCTATATCATTCTCATTGCCAACTGGTTGTTCATTTCTCCTGCCAACAAAATTCAGCATTCCACAACCACTAAGTAGTTCCTTCTGAAAAGTTTTGTTGTGTTTCTATGAATCCTGGGCTTTGCCTCAGCCTGTTGATGCTCCTCCTTGTACAGGTGATATTGTTCTTGATTAAACAACACTTCAGACACCTCTAATTGTTGAAAATAGAAAAGGGGAATTTCATAGGAGAGGCTAGTTTTCTAGAGTAGTGATTTGTAGCATCTCCATGCCATTGCTGCAACGCTAAATCATTAATGCAGTTTGTAAAGACTATCACACATGGATCACACACCCTCTCTCTTCCACTTGGCACTGCCTCCTCATAAAAGCATCACAGATGGGCTTTGTTTTGCATATTTATTTTGTAACTGAGGAAACCGGCTCTCTGCCACACAGCCTGCTTCAGCCTGCAGACTGCAACCACAGCAATTGAGAGGGCCAGAAAATTGCTTTGCCTTTTATTTTATTTTAATCTTCTGTTTCACCGTCTGCATCTTCTCTAGGGTGAGTGGCTCAGAGTTGCTTAAGAGGAGCAGTACATCTTTTAAATAAATAAATAAAAATAAATATTGCAGTTGGCTTGTGAACATAAAGATCAGTTATTGTTACAGTCATTGTTAGGATACCTACTCTGGAAGAGCTTTAAGCATAGAGAATGTAAATGGCCCAAAACCACAACTCTGCTTAAAGAATTCAGAGCATGCATGAAATGTGACTTAGAACCAGGAGTGGGTTTCAAAAAATTGTATTACCAGTTAAGTGGGCGTAGCTAGAGGGGGGACATGTGACTGAGTGGGCGTGGCAGTGGTGGGTTGCAGGTGGTACGCCCTGGTATGGGCGTACCGGAGCCTGCCCGGAGCACCGGATACCGTTCCAGTACGGTGCTCCAGAGGGCCCACCTGCCCGCCCGACCTCATTACTGGTCTTTTAAGTCTTCGGCACTTCTGCACATGCGCATAGCGCATACAGTGCCTGCACGACGCTCTGCTGAGCTGCTGGAGCGTCGCAGAGGTGCTAAGATGCATGTGTACACTGTACACGTGTACGCACATGCTGCGCGTGTCCGTACCAGTTGGAACTTGGCGTCACTGATGCACACTCAGTCACATGACCCCTTCACCAAGCCATGATCACCAAAACGGTGGCGAAAAGATTTGACTGGGAGGGGGATCTCCAACCTCACCAGAGCTAAGGGAGTGCCTGCAAACTACCCAGTAAGAAAAAAAGTTTTTGTCCTCCCCAAAGGTTTTGGCAAAAAATTCTCTCAAACTCTAGTAATACCAAGTAAGACAGAAGGACTTTGTAATCGATAACACTGAAAACTATAATGAGACCTAATCCAAGCTCCCAGTGTTTTTAAAAAGTAAAGAAGTAAATCCTACATGATGGTGAAAATGTATTGGATATTACTTTCATGTTTGAGCACTATAGTCTTCGGGTGTTCTGGAGAACCATATAGTCAGGGTTGAGGAATTGTTTACAGCTTAAGATATAATTAATTACTCTAGTAGTTGGTAAGGGCTTGATTCTTCAGATACAGAACCTATTGGCATTGAAAGTTGACTTTGCATTATTATAGCTCTGAATATTTTTATTTACTTTCTTTTCAGCCCAAGATCCCTGTAACTCCTTTCCATGTTCCCCACATGCTGTTTGCAAGACTGTTGAGGAAACCAAATATCAGTGCATCTGTGCTGAGGGATACAAAGGAAATGGGAGAGTGTGCCAAGAAAGGCAACCCTGTCTTGACAATAATGGAGGCTGTCCTATAAATACCACCGACTGCATTGTCCAGGGCACAGGAAAGGTAAATGGTGCCTTGCAGTGTACTTTCATTGTAGCAGCCATGTATGAAAGCAGACAGTTAGCAATAGGGCCAAGTTATTTGAGGGCTCTCCTAACTCCTATGTTTTTTGTCTAGAAGGCTCATGCCAACAGAGGTAATGAACTCTGGATCCCTTTGTTTAATAATGTTATGTATTAGAATCATGACACCTGCTGCTTGTTCATTCATTTAATATTTGACAAAAAAAAATTCATATTATTTCATGATATTTTTGCTTATGTTTGCATATTGGGTCTAGGATCCATGTTGATTTTGGTTTGTAGTGATTTTTGTGTTCTTATTTGAAGTGTTGGTAATTACCTTTAAAGCCTTGCAGGGGGCCTACGGCATTGTGACTAGTCTTCTTTTTATTTCCATAGCCATATTGCCAATGTAAAGCAGGAATGAAAAGGGAAAGAGGAGGGATAAATAATTGCATACCCACCAATGAATGCCCAGCATTTTTTTGTGACAGTGGTATAAAGTGGTGTAAAATGACCCCTGATGGGTTTTTCAAGTAAGTACTTCAGCAGCCCAGCATGAATTCAAAATAGAAGGTATTCTGAATTTCTATCGTTTGCTATAATACTAAATTCAGAAGTCTGGTTTACATGTGTTCTATGTATCTTAGGAGAGAGGGGGGAGGGAGGGAGAGAGACAGAGAGAGACACAGAGAGAGACACAGAGAGACACAGAGAGAGACAGAGAGAGACAGAGACGGAGACAGAGAGACAGAGAGACAGAGAGACAGATAGAGACAGACAGACAGACAGAGATATGAAGGACTAGTTCCCAGTGAAATGTACTTTTTGATACATGCATTCATTTTCTGTTAAGTATTTTATCCCATTTTTCTCCTAAAAAGCTCAGATCAGTGTTATGGTAGAATAATATCCAAAAATAGCAGGGCATATTTTTTGAACAAAGATTCAAAACATATATTTGCTCATTCCGAAAACCTCTGTCCTGAATATTGAAGGCAGTATTTTTAGACTTGGGAATCCCCACTATAAAGTTACTCAAATTATATGCTCAATACAATATGGCAAGAGCTACAAATACATCAACATTCCTAAAATTTATATATTATTTATTGGAGGTAGCAGGAGTACAGTATCTTTTTATTGGAAAGCTGCTTATTCTCCATCAATGAAAATATTAAAAAAAGAAGTCTTGTTTTTCAATATTAGAGGCCAATACCTGCAAAGCAGTCTGTAATGTTTCTCCTTGCAAATGTGGCCTTTCTATGATCATCACACAGAGCAAAATTGTTCACCTGTATAGGAGTGGCTACTTTGTTCTAGCCTCATAGAGCTTCACTAGGCTGCAAGAGAAGAATGGTACTTTTCCTTTGAATTCCTAGCTCAATTGTGTCCTTCTCTAGTTATGAGTGTCACTAGCATCCAAGAATCATTGTTTTAAAAACCATATGCTTCCCTTGGAATTTTATGCAAATCTGGTGATAGTTGGCCATTTTGGCCATAGTATCACCTCCTTCTAACCTGAGTTTTTAGATACCAATGAAACTCTGCTCTTCAGGTTTTACAAAAGTTACATTTGGCATCTTTCCAAGCACGGAATGCCAATATTATTAACATTCCATGTTACAAATGTGGGTGTCAAAAAGAAAAGAAAGACTGGTTCACTTTGACAAATTCAGATATGAACTAGAGCAGCCTTCCCCAATATGATATTCCTTAGATATGTTGGACTTCTACCTCTGCAATAATCAAATGACACTGGGTTTGAAGCTTAACATGATCAGGATGGCACCATTGAGGAAGGTTGACACCGGCATTTTCTATGCCTTTTGTCACTAGAGGTGGTCCTTTATTTATAACCACAATTGAGCCCCAAATTTATATTGGTACGTGAGGCAGTTGTTAAATGAGGTAAAATACAGAATATTTTTAATATGGGATTTGTTTTATCTATGACTAGAAAATAGAGGTAGAAATTAGAAATTGGAAAGATATTATGTATAAGCAGATAAAGTCAGACAACACATTGTTCAAAAAGCATGTATGTTTGTATAAATAAAATATTTTTTTTTAAAAGACTGCAGCTGCTAAATGTGAATTGGTTGCAAAATACTTAATAATGGGACAGTTGCCCAAACCTCATCTTATATCACCCTCTTTTGTTCAGCTGCATCTGCTCAACAGGAGAAATTAATGTTGGAAGTCACTGTTACAAAACTATCCTGAGTGAAATCGTTAACAAAAATAGATATGGAAGATATTCCAGGGAATTGAATGATGCACTGACATTATTCGGTAACTTTCTTTTCTGAGTGAATTTAACCATACATAATTGCAATTGGGTAGAAAATCATTGAACTATTCTAATTGTTTCAGATTGATTTCTTTGAATACTATAAATGAGAAGAATCCTACGATACTCACAACTGATGTGCTTACTTAAAAGGGTAGCAGCATTGATTAAATTAACTTGTTAGTTCAGAAAACAATTAAAAAATGTCAAGTGCATGAAATTAGGAGCCAAGGGAATTCAAATGAATAGAAGTGTATTGCAAGCTATCATTCTCTACAAGAATCTGAACTGCTAATGGTCAAAGCAAATTGGCAGTAGATAAGAGTCAACAGGGTAGAAGAGTGGCTGAGCTCTTGTTGGCATGAAGGAACTTGAGACTTATGACATGTTTCACCCATCCCTCAGTTCAGCCTGATCATCTCCTACAAAAATATAATCCAGGGCACACAAACTTTTAATTCAGATCAAGTATACATTTCAGAACAAGGAAGAAGGTAATTCAGCTGATTGTGTTAAACTATCTGATTTGTAGCTACACATCAAAATATATTGGGACGCCATAGCTAGATCTCCTAACTTTTTTTATTGTCTTTAAAAAGAGGCCTTCATATTCAAGGATGCTGAAAACTTTTGGTGGGTCTTTTTTTCTTTCGGGATGGATGCAAATGCTAAAGATAATTTAATATTATATTATTAAACTAAATTTAAAAGAGATCCAAATATACCTAACCATGAATCACTAAACATAGAGATGTACATATTAACATGGAAAATTAAGTATATGTTGTATCCTGCTTCCCTTTTGGTGGGAAATAGATAAGTACTTGCATATGTTACCTGTTCTGGCAAGTAGCAGCTGGGTGGACAGTGTTGATTGGAGAAATGCTGTAAATGTTGAGAAAGAATTAAATGTCTCTTTCAACCTCTCAGTCCAATTCAGGGTTGCCCAAGTAGGGGATAGAAACAGAAATATAATGAAGATGTCTTCATAAAACCTTCAACCTGCACATCTAAGGCATATAGCACTTAGACTTATATACCACTTCGCAGTGCTTTACAGCCTTCTCTAAGCGGTTTACAGAGTCAGCATATTGCCCCCAACAATTTGGGTTCTCATTTTGCCCACCTTAGAAGGCTGGAAGGCTGAGTCAACCTTGAGCCACTGAGAGCTGAACTGCCAAACTGCTGGCAGTCAGCAGTATTAGCCTGCAATACTGTGTTCTAACCACTACAACACCATGGCTCATTCATATAGTCTGTTAAAGAAAATGCTTCCAGTCGTATGCATGATTATTAATGATATTCAGGTGTTGTTTTTTTAATGAATGTATGGTATGGAATCTTTTAACAGATAAAGGTTGTTCATTAGCCCTGGAGAACTATGGGCCTTTCACAGTTTTTGTGCCTACCGGAAAAATCTCTCCTCGATTTAACTTCAGTGTAAGTACTCTTTTCTCTTATTAATTAATTACTCCTAGTATTTGTGTCTGAAGTAAGGCTACCACGGTCCTTCTTGATGAAGATTATCATTTGGTATGTTTACTCACTGCGTTTGTTTTTCAGAGAGAATTACAATGAAGGGGAAGGGAGAGATAGATGGGTAATTATTTGTGGGGCTTGCAAAGGAGGTGAAGTCTAGAAACCATGGTTCATTGTAAGGCCAGCAACACTCCACACATTCTTTAGATTTTTTTTTTTTTTTTAGATTTTATTTGGCACTTATAGGCCGCCCTTTTCCCTGAGGGGACTCAGGGCGGCTTACAA